CTGCGCCAGCTGGTGGTTCCAACGACTTCTTCTCGAACACAAAGACAGATGCCGCCTTCCCCGTCGACTTCTTCTTCGCGTCGTATATCTTCCATGGGCCTGAATACGACGTGGGCTGGGGGCTGAGGGTGTAGTTGCTCGAGATGTTGGAAGTGAAGGACTTTAGGGCGTTGGAAAACATGGTGCTGGTGGTCTATTGGCGCGCGCGGCGATACTGTGGGAGTCGAGCGAGGGCGTCATGGACTGTGATGTTTGGCGTGGGCAGTGTTGGTATGCGCGTGAGATCTGAGACAGACAGCTGGAACTGCCGAGAGGATCAAGACATTCGGGGCGCTCTTTCCGCAAAATATCTTGGGAGAATCACCAAGGAGTCGCGCAATGTCTAGACTCGTCGGTACGATGACGGAGACCCAAAAGTCAATTGATAGACAAAGCCAAGTGTTAGTTCCCCCACGCGAGCTGTGGAGAAGGATCCATGGATGCCAGGGCCGCCTCTAGTCTCCCGCCTTGCATGACGTGAGCGCACGCAGCACACATGGGCAGTGTGAATGCAGCAACGGCCAAGATACCAAGCACGCGAATAACCTCAGATATCCGCGCTGACGATGATTCAGATGTCGTTCGCGCCCTACGATTGCCTGTTCGGTGGCTGGTGCAGTGCGCGATCGGAGGTGACTGTCGCGACTGTGTCGCGAGGTCCGATGTCTCCAGGCTGCGGTCAGCTTCGGTCTTGTAGCCCAAAATAATTATTACTCTGGAATCCACCACCTGCACCAACTCTCCTCCCGCCCCACCCTCTCCGCTTGCACTGCATCCCTCACAATGCTTCCGCAGCGGTCTTCACGATTGCTCTCTTGCCTGTCCCGTGGTGCCTTCCGTCCGCCTGTAGCACCGCTCAGCGCGTCGCTGCGATGTCGGACCCAGCGACCCTACAGCATTCATGCTGACAAGTCTGTTGGCGAGAAGATACAGGATATCGACCCGACCAAGCTCTCCATAACCAAGACGACGACGCCTAAAGATCTGCTGCCGCATGAAGAACTTGTCTTTGGCCGCAACTTCTCTGGTAACAGCTCCAATGGCACCAAACTTCACATCTAACACGTACTCAAGATCACATGCTGTCGCTTGAATGGACAGCAACAGAAGGATGGCTGCCAGCACGCATTACCCCCTACCAGAACCTCAGTCTCGACCCCGCGACGTGCGTCTTCCACTATGCGTTCGAGTGCTTTGAGGGCATGAAGGCCTACAAGGACAAGAACGGAAACATCAGGCTGTTCAGGCCGGACAAGAACATGGCCAGGTTGAACAAGTCATCGGCGCGAATTGCGTTGCCCACTTTCGACCCCGATGCTTTGATCGAGCTCATTGGCAAGTTTGTGAAGGAGGATGAGCGTTTCGTTCCCGAGTACGTTCAGTCTGAATCCTCTGTTGGCTACAACACACTCTGACCACACCAGTGCGCGAGGCTACTCTCTCTACCTTCGCCCAACGATGATCGGCACTCAGCGCACCCTCGGCGTCGGCCCTCCCGCGTCTGCACTACTCTACGTGATCGCTTCCCCCGTCGGCCCATACTACCCAACCGGGTTCAAGGCTATCTCGCTCGAGGCTACAGACTACGCTGTGCGCGCATGGCCTGGAGGTGTTGGAGACAAGAAGCTTGGTGCCAACTACGCACCTTGCATCGTCCCGCAGATGCAGGCTGCAAGCCGCGGATTCCACCAGAATCTGTGGCTGTTTGGCGAGGAAGAGTTCATCACCGAGGTCGGTACTATGAACCTATTTGCAGCCATCAAGAACAAGGAGACCGGAAAGCCAGAACTGCTCACTGCGCCTCTCGACGGAACCATTCTTGAGGGAGTAACGCGAGACTCAATTCTCGAGCTTGCGCGGGAACGTCTGGTGCCCAAGGGCTGGACCGTATCGGAGCGCAAGTTCACCATGAAGGAGGTGGCCGACGCTGCCAACGAGGGACGCATGATGGAGATCTTCGGTGCAGGCACTGCTGCCATTGTCGCCCCAGTACGCAAGATCAGCTGGAAGGGACAGCTTGTCGACTGCGGACTGGAAGACCACGTCGAAGCCGGCCCAATTGCACAGCAGATGAAGGACTGGATGGAAGCCATTCAGTACGGCGACGAGGACCACCCGTGGAGGTATGAGCTTCCCCGTCACTCTGCAGATGATTCGCTAACATGACAACAGTTACAAGGTGATATAAGCAAGTAGTTGATATAAATGCGATGTGTTGAGCGTGCACGTTTGCACAATAGACTGTATATACATGAGACCCGGTCATAGCTTGAGAAAAGATACGTGGCCCCTGGCGCATTGACATTGGCAACGGTGATGGCACAGTGACTTCGCGATGGTGGGGTAAAGGATGCTTCTGCAGAGCGTGCCTGACTACGCCCTCCTTAGATGACGTTCCTGCTAGTCTCTCTAGCTCCCAACCTCTCGTTACACCGCCGACGCTCCCACGCCTAAACACCCCGTCAATTGCCCGCCCAGAGCTGCGCCGCCGCTCGTCAATTCCTCCACCACGCGCCCCGACGACACGCCCAAGAATTCTCACGATGCTGGCCGGCGCACTCTGCCGCTTGGCAGCCGACGCCCCCAGGGCCTCCCCACACGACATGCCGCAGCTCGCCCGCACCCTCGGCCGCGCCCTCCTCGCCCGCAATGCCGCCCAGCACCCGCATGCGCGCGCCCTCTCACGCGCCTTCGCCTCTGCCCTCCAGGACCGCCGGTCGTATGCTACAACTACGCGCGCCACCAAGCCCACGGCGACGGTGAAGAAGGCGGTAAAGACAGCTGCCGCTAAGAAGCCTGCGCCCAAGAAGACGGCCACAACAGCAAAGAAGGCGGCTCCCAAGAAGAAGCCCGCAGCAAAAAAGGCGGCTCCCAAGAAAAAGGCAAAGAAGCCTGCCGCGAAGAAGCCCGCGCCCAAGAAGCGCGTCAAGAAGGTCTTGACGCCCGAAGAACAACAAAAGGTCAAGCTCCGAGAGCTACGCGCCAAGGCACTCAAGGAACCCGTCAGCCGCAGGTCATTGTCTGCTCTCCATGTCTTCTTAGCTGAAAAGCTGGCTGGTGTTCCGGGCCAAAAGACTGGGCAACTTCCGGCTGCTACGGCCGAGTTCCAGAAGTTGACCCCCGCTGAGCTTGAGGTAAGCCCTGTCCGCCTCACAGTGCATCACACTATACTAATTGTCTGAAGCACTACAACCACCTCGCAAGCGAGAGGACTGTCGCTAGAAGAGCCGAGTACGACGCATGGCTCAAGGCCTACACTCCCGACCAGATCCGCATCGCAAACAACGCACGTGCCCAGTTACGGAGGATCTATACGAGTGAAAAGAAGAAGGCTCCTGCTCACACTGCCAAGCTTGTCGATGAGCGTCATGTGAACAAAGTGATACCCGCCTATGCCGCCTTTGTCAAAGAAAGGTTTGCCTCCGGAGACTTCAAGAACATTTCCCCTCTCGAGGCTATGAAACTCATCTCCCAGGAGTGGAAGTCTTTGGGCGCTGCTGAGAAGAAGGTATGCATAACAAATGCGACGTTGATACAGTACAGGCTCTAACATATCTATAGAAATACACAGACGCCTACACTGCTCAGAAGAACGCTGCGGCATCCGCATAATACGTCTAGCGGCAATCGCTTGTAGCGCCTGCTTCTCCATCACCTCTCTACTTAGAGCCGCATCGATTTCCTTTGTCAGTCATGATTTGGGCCTCCATGATACCGTGTATGTTCAGTCTGGATATTGGACCTCACCTGGTGTTCTGGTTCAAGGCGGTGGGTTCAAGGTTGGAAATGGTAAGATTCCTGTAACAGAGACATGTCCATGTAGTTTCTCAGAGTACTGCAATGCTTCTTCTGCGGTTGTGGGTTATTCTAATGCAATCGCAAGTATTGAGAGTTGGTGTAGTTGCACAGGAAGTGACTTTGCGCACCAATCATCTAGCGTGCTTTCCTTATCTCTACTACCCCCAGCCAAGCCCAGCAATCATCCCATCCCACAACGTTTACCCCAGGCTTTGCGAGTAGATCTATTTCCGCGGCAGATAAGCGTGCGTTTGAGATATCCTTGTCTGCGTCATTGGACAAGCCACCTGGGAGCTTTCGATATGTACCTCAGTTGTCCGCAGCATGCTGTCTTCTATTTACTCTCGTTGATCCCTCATTCAATTCTACAGCCATGGCTTCTGACGAAGAAAACGGACACGAACGTACTCCTCTCCTCCACCAAGCCCGACTATCCCATCTTCAACACGAACAAGATGAAGAAGCTTCCTCAATCATCGCGTCCACGGTAACCAAAGAAGAACAGCAGTTGGCAGAAAGTCCAGTTGGAGAACGATTACCGTATAATGACTACACGACAATCGACTGGCTACACGATTTGGTACTAATACTTCTTGTCAACGAACCTATAAGTGGATGAGTATACTGATACGCAAACCCAGGTCAAAGACTCCTACCGCTACCGCGCTCTCCACTCCCACCCTGGTCTCCGCTACAAACTGCTCACACTCATCGATGCCAGTTCTGGTTGGCTTGCCGTCGTGGTAATCGGCGCATTAACGGCATGTATCGCCTTCCTCGTTGACATCGCCGTCGTGACTGTTTCGGACTGGAAAACCGGGTATTGCTCTGGCCATTTTTTGCGCAACAGAGAAAGTTGCTGTGTTGCTGCTGAGAAGAGTCCGTCGCTGTTTTCGATGAAAGAGAAGGGGGAAGAATGTGCAGACTGGAAAGTCTGGAGCAAAGACTACAAGAGCAGTTTTGCAATCTACGTGGGCATGGCAGTGGCATTCGGAGTTATAAGTTCAAGTTTAACCATGTTAACTCGGTCTACCCTCCCATCTACCTCATCCTCCAACCATACCACGAAGAACGCAAGCAACGGCCACACCACCACCACCTCCTCCTCCTCATCCCCTCCTTCCTCGAACCCACCCACCACACCAACCGCACAAGGCAAAACAATGTACCTAGCCTCCGGCTCCGGCATCCCCGAAATAAAAACCATCCTCTCCGGCTTCTCAATCCCCTCCTTCCTCTCCCTCCCCGTGCTCATCGTAAAATCCCTCGGCGCAATCTTCGCCGTATCATCCTCCCTCTGTCTGGGAAAAGAAGGTCCCTTTGTCCACATCTCCACCTGCATCGGCCACCTAACCGGGCGCTTGATACCAAAATACGCGTCCAATGGCCGCAAGATGCGGGAGCTGCTCAGCGCGGCATGCTCAGCGGGACTGTCAGTAGCATTCGGCGCGCCGATCGGAGGCGTGCTGTTTAGTTATGAGGAGATTAGTACGTATTTCCCGCGGAAAGTGCTGTGGAGGGCTTTTCTGTGTAGTCTTACTGCGGCGATGGTGTTGAAGGAACTCAATCCAACCGGCACGGGCAAATTAGTGCTTTTTGAATCGCGGTTTGGGGATGAATACAACGCTATTCACTACTTCGTTTTCGTCCTCTTGGGCGTAGCGGGCGGTATCTTCGGAGGCCTGTTTTGCAAGTTCAATTTCCTGTGGTCGAAGTGGTTTAGGGCTTTTGGCGTTATTAGGAGGAACCCAGTGTTGGAGGTTGCGTTGGTGGTGCTGGCTACGGCGTTGGTTCAGTATCCTAATCCGTTGACAAGGGAGCCGGGGGATGTTATTATTAAGAATTTGTTGGTGGATTGTGGGGAGGATAAGTCGAGCGTGTCTTGGGTTTGTCGGAATGAGAGGGCTGCTAGGGAGAGAGGGACGACGAATTGGGAGTATGTGGGTTGGTTGACGTATGGGACGTTGGCTAAACTCGTTCTTACTACTATTACGTTTGGGATCAAGGTTCCGTCTGGCGTTATCATTCCAGCGCTGGATGCCGGTGCTTTCTTTGGGAGACTAGTTGGCCAGGCTATCGGTTCGATCAGTCCGGGTATCTTCGCTATGGTGGGTGCTGCTGCGTTTCTGGCGGGTGTGTCTCGGATGACTATCTCGCTTGCTGTTATTGTAAGTCCTTTTCCTTCTCTTTCTCTGGTGTGAATACCTCTAATTAACGCTCTGTATAGATGTTCGAACTCACAGGCCAGCTCTCCTACACCGTCCCTTCTATGCTCGCCATCCTAACCGCAAAATGGGTCGCCGACGCAATCTCCTCAGAAGGCGTCTACGATCTCGCTCAATCCCTACTCTCTCACCCTTTTCTGGACCCAGATACCGCTCTCTCCATCGTCCGCCGCCACAAAGCCTGCGTCGAGGTCCTCATTCCCCCTCAGCGCACCATGGATGACATTACCGTTCACGTACCTACAAGCAATAAAGTAGCTTTGACTCTGCTGAAAGAGAAGCTTAATGCGTTGAGAGAACGAGGTCTCATGGACGCGGGTCTTGTACTCGTGCAGAAGAATCATGGTGGGGTTGAAGTGCTGCAGGGCTATATATCGCAGTCGGAGCTTGAATTTGGGCTGACGAAACTCGTTCCTGGTGTGCTTGTGTCGACGCAGGAAGAGGATGTCCAGGTTAGGTTGCTAGGCCAGGAGATTGATGAGCCGACGAGTCCCATGAGCTTGGAGATGGATTTGACGCCATTTGTGGATCGGACACCATTGAGCATCTGCGCGAAAGCGCCTCTGGAATATGCTGTCGAGATGTTCTCCAAGTTGGGTCTGAGATATCTCATGGTGACCAAAGAGGGCACAGGACAACTGGTGGGTGTGATAATCAAGAAACGGCTCGTAGGCTACCTTGAACACCTAAGAGAACATGGCGAAGGAGATTAGTAGGACGTAACTAGCACACACAATACACTGTTCAGTGGACAATATCTGATTATAGCATCTTTTCGCTAACAAGAAGCTGAGGCGCCTGCCATGTCTGTCTAGTCACTTTCGCAACATGTCTGATCACAGCCAGATCGCTCAAAGTACGAATCGAATTACAACGCTCGTGTCCACACGTGAAATATTCCAACAACCAAGTCCAGCGGGACGTCAGCCATGACCAGCTTACTCCTCAGCCTCGAGAGGAGCCTCCTCGTCGTACTCATCCTCACCCTCAGAGACGGAAGCCTCCTGGTATTGCTGGTACTCAGAGACCAAGTCGTTCATGTTGGACTCAGCCTCAGTGAACTCCATCTCGTCCATACCCTCACCAGTGTACCAATGCAAGAAAGCCTTGCGCCTGAACATGGCAGTGAACTGGTCACCGACACGCTTGAACAGCTCCTGGATGGAGGTCGAGTTACCGACGAAGGTGGAGGACATCTTGAGGCCGCGGGGAGGGATTGAGCAGAGGGCGGTCTGGACGTTGTTGGGGATCCACTCAACGAAGTAGGAGGAGTTCTTGTTCTGGACGTTGCGCATCTGGTCCTCGACCTCCTTCATGGAGACCTTACCACGGAAGTAGGCGGAGCAGGTCAGGTAGCGACCGTTGCGGAAGTCGGACGCAGCCATCATGTTCTTGGGGTCGAACATCTGCTGGGTGAGCTCGGGAACGGTGACGGCGCGGAAGGAGTGGGCGCCGCGGCTGGTGAGGGGAGCGAATCCGACCATGAAGAAGTGGAGACGGGGGAAGGGAACCATGTTGACGGCCAACTTCCTCAGGTCGGAGTTGAGCTGACCGGGGAAACGCAGGCAGGTGGTGACACCCGACATGACGGCGGAGACGAGGTGGTTCAGGTCGCCGTATGAGGGGTTGTTCAGCTTGAGGGTGCGCATGCAGATGTCGTAGAGAGCCTCGTTGTCAATGCAGAAGGTCTCGTCGGAGTTCTCAACCAGCTGGTGGATGGAGAGTGTGGCGTTGTAGGGCTCGACAACGGTGTCGGAGACCTTGGGGGAGGGCACGACGGAGTAGGTGGCCATCATGCGGTCGGGGAACTCCTCACGGATCTTGGAGATGAGGAGCGTACCCATACCGGCACCAGTACCACCTCCGAGGGAGTGGGTGATCTGGAAACCCTGGAGGCAGTCGCAGCCCTCGGCCTCGCGGCGCACGACGTCGAGGACCTGGTCGACGAGCTCGGCACCCTCGGTGTAGTGACCCTTTGCCCAGTTGTTACCAGCACCAGACTGGCCGAAGACGAAGTTGTCGGGGCGGAACAGCTGGCCGAAGGGGCCGGCGCGGACGGCGTCCATGGTACCGGGCTCGAGGTCAACGAGGACGGCACGGGGCACGAACTTGTTGTTGGACGCCTGCTGTGGATCAGTATTGGTCTTTTATCTGCCAAAAGCGTAATCGGGGGACGCACTTCGTTGAAGTAGACGTTCATGCGCTCGAGCTGCAGGTCCGAGGTGCCGTTGTAGACACCGGAGCCGTCGAGGCCATGCTCGCCGGAGATGGTCTGCCAGAAGGCGGCACCGATTTGGTTACCCTGGGGGTGTTAGCTGTCGTCTGTACAGAGGAGCGATATGTAGACTTACGCATTGACCGGTCTGAAGGTGCACCTGTTGCAGAGAATCGTCGTTAGCTGTTGTTCTTTGTGTTGTCCCTGAGTCTCGGCGCGGGGCAGCGACGCGCCACGACTAGGCGGCAGTGCGGGCGATACGTACAATCTCACGCATGTTGGCGGTTGGGGGCGAGGAATATGGAAGTTGGAGAGGTGAAGATGCGAGGAGCTGGGTTATGGCTGGTGGCTGGTGGTGGTGCTGGTGTGGAGAGCAGGAGGAGCAGAAGCGGTGAGTGCGTTAAAGATCTCTGTGGGTCGTCTGCACGGGCCGTCGGCGCTAGAGCTATTTACTAACAACGCGCCAAAGCTGGTGCCTGCCGGCTGGAGGGGCTAGTCATGAACATGTACAGCTGCACTAGCAAGGCACAAGTCGCTGCTGTCGAATGGCTTCGTCGCTTTGCAGTATCTTGTATTACTGGCTGGTTTCATATCGTGAGAGACGTGTTACTAGAGGCGGTTGCGGATTTGTTGTTCCCGTCCCATCCCCTATCAAATTCGCCTATCCGTATCGTCGTTCGCAGCGCGGAATACCGCACAACGCTGATCTTGCAAAGCACATGCATAAATCCTCCCTGACACGCGAACCTAATTCTGCCCAAGACTCCACGTCGTCACCGCCTATAGCTCCTTCTTCGTTGAGCCGTTTGCATGGCCACCAGCCTGTCGCTTGACAACCTGCGGCATCGTCCAGAAGTTTGGCCAGTAGAGCTCATACTCGTCCTGCCTGTAGTTGAGGCAGTGTCGCAGCCATACGCCCCATACAATGTAGTAGTAAGCTCCAGTTCCCGTCATAAGATGCCTGGTATTGTGAGCTTTCGTCTTTCTAAGATAAATGCAATACTCACCACCAGCCGTGACCCTCGAGCACGAAACCCCAGGGCATACCGATCTCCCTCCGCCACTGAATCAACTGCGAGCAATGCACGTTGTCGAGGTGCCACACAGCAAAGCCTCCCAGGAAGATGCTGAGGCCGAATGCAATCATCTGCCACATCTTACTGAGAATCTCTTGGTCGCGCACGTCTTCTCTCTCTTGGACCGCCTTCACACCTCCGTGTGGCCGCGGGTTCGCTGCTTCCCTCTCCTTGGATTTGAAGCGCGGACGGATGTTCACCTCCATTACATACATGGCGCGGAACAGGACAATTGCTGTGAGAATCGCATAAGCGTTCTGATGGAAGGTGGGGTCCTGGAGGAAGTGGTAGTAGAGCGTAATGAAGGCGGCAAGAGACACAAGTCCGATTGCGAGAACCGTAGAGTACAGCCTCGACTTGCCATAAGAGAACGTCGCAAAGTTCATCAAGCAAGTCGTGTAGATCATCGAAAGCTCATCTACCAGCTGCATAGGATCTAACACGAATCAGATCTTGCGTGTGAACGATTGATTCAGCAGCGAACATACATTTCAACGTCGCGTGAAAGAGAAAGCTCCCAGTTCCAACGAGTAGATAGCCAATAAACGCCACGAGAAAGACGGTGTCATGTCCATTCTTCAAGCAATTGCGTATGCCTTTTGCAGCGAGGTACATGAACAGCAGATTCGTGAGCGTGTTGATGATCTCCGCAGAGTACTGCGTGACTACATAATTCTTCAAACGGTTAGCATGCGCATCTTCAACGCAATGACCCTCTCAACTAACCTCTTCACACCAATCGAGAGTAGAGGTGACCGGGGAGAAGAACCCATCTTGTTCAGGCGGGTACGGTATCGACGGTAGACGGGAAAAGAACGCAGCCATCTTCACTCTACAAGAATCCTGAAAAGAGAAAAAGAAAGAAGTGAGAGGTTGAGGAAAGAGAAACTGTAGGTGTTTGACTTCGCTATCGAGCTTGTATCTAGCACCGGCTTTTGCGGAAGGAAAGACTGGAGAGCGACAATCCGCGACACGAGAGGCCCATGCTCCAACGATAGGCTGCCAGACTACCACGCCACACGTGGGCAAACAGTAAGGATTACTGCGCAAAAGGAATCGCCCCCAGTACACATTCCTACCGCCGACGTATACCTCCCGCACACATCGGAAAGCTTGGCTCCCGAGCTGACGAGGTCGCAAGCTCACGGTGCAGTTTTCGGTGTGAATCCAAACAGCCAATCACATCCGCCCAGGGTCTCTCGCAACTGCCGAACCGAGAAAGCTTGAGAAGCAGCCAGCCAGACCAGCGCTCTCACGAGACCTACGAGCCAATCGTCAACTTTACCAAATCTCCGCCCACCATGTCCATGTCAAACGAGGCCTTGCAGAAGGTGCGTCAATCATTGCGATGTGATGGATAAAGAAAAGAGCGGGGATCTAACGCTGGAAACACCCAGGTCCTACAAGAAATCAGCCAAAAGAAGGCCTTCGCCGAACAACAACTCGTCATTGTCAAACAACAAAAAGCCGCCCGGACGCGAGAGGGGCGTATGCTGCAACTCACGTCCTCGGAAGTCTCGTCGCTGCCTGCAGAGACAAAGGTGTATGAGGGTGTGGGCAAGATGTAAGTTGCATGTCTCGCTATTTGCCCCTCGCGACTGCGGGGGAGGAAGTGGGATGAGATGAAATGCAGAGACTGATTGCTATGAACAGGTTCGTCTGCACGCCTATTCCAGATGTGCAAAAGAGGCTCCAGGAGGAGAGTGAGGCGTTGAACAAAGAGATGACGAATCTGGATAAGAAGGAGGATTACCTTGAGAAGACGTATACGAACAGCAAGAACAGCCTTGAGCAGGTGCTGAAGGGCGCAGCTTGAGTGTGCTGTCGGTATTCCGTCGTCGTCATGAGATCGATTCAAAAAATCGAAATGAGGGGTTAGGAAGACTAGGAAGAGTCTACCAAAATGGTTGATCTTGCTACCGAGTTCTGCAAAGGCAACGGCGAACACCAGCTTCTGCTCTACGGATGATAGCAGGAAGTTGGAAGTAACACAGCCACAAAATCAATACGATATTGATAACACACAGACCACTAGAACCGTTGACGACCAGTTACACCACGAAATGATCGACGATAGTCGTCGCGGGAGTATGAAGTAAAGTGTTTTTTTCGCTTTTTCCGTGCATCTACTTCTCACCCCTACCGCATCCTAACAAGCATCGCCTCAACACCCTCCAAGCACTTCCTCACCTCCTCTGCCGCCCTCGCTACATACGCGCCATCCACAACCCTATGATCAGCACTCCAGCTAAACACACACTCCTCCCTCTTGATCAGCTCATCGTTCTCCCCAAACGCCGGCACTAGTCTCGCCTTCCCAATGCCCAGAATACCAACTTGAGGCCCAACGATGACAGGTGCCACAGCACCGCCGCCTATGCTACCAATGTTGCTGACTGTGAAGGTTGCACCGGTGAGGTCG